CCTTAGTGCTGCCTTTGACACCATCGATCACCACATTCTTTTGGAGAGACTGGAAACCCAAATTGGTCTACACGGACAAGTTCTGGCCTGGTTTAGATCCTACCTGTCGGAAAGATATCAGTTTGTCTCTGTGAATGGTCTGTCCTCCGACAAATCAACTGTACATTTCGGTGTTCCTCAAGGTTCCGTTTTAGGACCACTATTGTTTTCACTATATATTTTACCTCTTGGGGATGTTATTCGAAAACATAATGTTAACTTTCACTGCTATGCGGATGACACACAGCTGTACATTTCAATGAAGCATGGTGAAGCCCCAAAATTGCCCTCGCTAGAAGCCTGTGTTTCAGACATAAGGAAGTGGATGGCTGAAAACTTTTTACTTTTAAACTCGGACAAAACAGAGATGCTTGTTCTAGGTCCCAAGAAACAAAGAGATCTTCTGTTAAATCTGACAATTCATCTTGATGGTTGTAAAGTCGTCTCAAATAAAACTGTGAAGGACCTAGGCGTTACTCTTGACCCTGATCTCTCTTTTGACGAACATATCAAGACTGTTTCAAGGACAGCTTTTTTCCATCTACGTAACATTGCAAAAATCAGAAATTTTCTGTCCAAAAATGATGCAGAAAAATTAATCCATGCATTTGTTACTTCTAGATTAGACTACTGCAATGCTCTATTTTCCGGCTACCCGGATAAAGCACTAAATAAACTTCAGTTAGTGCTAAATACGGCTGCTAGAATCCTGACTAGAACCAAGAAATTTGATCATATTACTCCAGTGCTAGCTTCCCTACACTGGCTTCCTGTTAAGGCAAGGGCTGATTTCAAGGTTTTACTGTTAACCTATAAAGCGTTACATGGGCTTGCTCCTACCTATCTTTCCGAGTTGGTCCTGCCGTACATACCAATACGTACGCTACGGTCACAAGACGCAGGCCTCCTAATTGTCCCTAGAATTTCTAAGCAAACAGCGGGAGGCAGGGCTTTCTCCTATAGATCTCCATTTTTATGGAACAGTCTGCCTACCCATGTGAGAGACGCAGACTCGGTCTCAACCTTTAAGTCTTTACTGAAGACTTATCTCTTCAGTAGGTCATATGATTGAGTGTAGTCTGGCCCAGGAGTGTGAAGGTGAACGGAAAGGCTGGAGCAACGAACAGCCCTTGCTGTCTCTGCCAGGCCGGTTCCCCTCTCCACTGGGGTTCTCTGCCTCTAACCCTGTTGCAGGGGCTGAGTCACTGGCCTGCTGGTGCTCTTTCATGCCGTCCCTGGGAGGGGTGCGTCACTTGAGTGGGTTGAGTTACTGACGTGATCTTCCTGTCTGGGTTGGCGCCCCCCCCCCCCTTGGTTTGTGCTGTGGTGGAGACCTCTGTGGGCTATACTCGGCCTTGTCTCAGGATTGTAAGTTGGTGGTTGGGGATATCCCTCTAGTGGTGCGGGGGCTGTGCTTTGGCGGAGTGGGTGGGGTTATATCCTTCCTGTTTGGCCCTGTCCGGGGGTTTCTTCGGATGGGGCCACAGTGTCTCCGGACCGCTCCTGTCTCAGCCTCCAGTATTTATGCTGCAGTAGTTTATGTGTCGGGGGGCTGGGGTTAGTTGGTTATACCTGGAGTACTTCTCCTGTCTTATCCAGTGTCCTGTGTGAATTTAAGTATGCTCTCTCTAATTCTCTCGTTCTCTCTTTCTCTCTGAGAACCTGAGCCCTAGGACCATACGTCAGGACTACCGGGCATGATGACACCCTGCTGCCCCGAGTCCGCCTGGCCTTGCTGCTATTCCAGTTTCAACTGTTCTGCCTGCGGCTACGAAACCCCTACCTGTCCCAGACCTGCTGTTTTCAACTCTAAATGATCGGCTATGAAAAGCCAACTGAGAGACCTGAGCCCTAGGACCATACGTCGGGACTACCGGCCGTGGTGACTCCTTGCTATCCCCAGTCCGCCTGGCCTTGCTGCTATTCCAGTTTAAACTGTTCTGCCTGCGGTTATGGAACCCCTACCTGTCCCAGACCTGCTGTTTTAAACTCTAATGATCGGCTATGAAAAGCCAACTGAGATTTATTCCTGATTATTATTTGACCATGCTTGTCACTTATGAACATTTTTGAACATCTTGGCATGGTTCTGTTATAATCTCCACCCGGCACAGCCAGAAGAGGACTGGCCACCCCTCATAGCCTGGTTCCTCTCTAGGTTTCTTCCTAGGTTTTGCCTTTCTAGGGAGTTTTTCCTAGCCACCGTGCTTCTACACCTGCATTACTAGCTGTTTGGGGTTTTAGGCTGGGTTTCTGTACAGCACTTCGAGATATTAGCTGATGTAAGAAGGGCTATATAAAATAAAATTGATTGATTGATTGAGTGTGTATGGCGTTGTGTGGGCGAACGGTTTGCTGATATCAATGTTGTGAACAGAGTGCCCCATGGTGGTGGTGGGGTTATGCTATGGGCAGGCATATGCTACGGACACAGCACACAATTGCATTTTATTGATGGCAATTTGAATGCACAGAGATACCGTGACGAGATCCTGAGGCCCATTGTCATGCCATTCATCTGCCGCCATCACCTCATGTTTCAGCATGATAATGTACGGCCCCATGTCGCAAGGATCTGTACACAATTCCTGGAAGCTGAAAAGGTCCCAGTTCTTCCATGGCCTGCATACTCACCAGACAATTAGCATGTTTGGGATGCTCTGGATCAACGTGTACGACAGCGTGATCCAGTTCCTGTCAATATCCAGCAACTTCGCACAGTGGGACAACATTCCACAGGCCACAATCAACAGCCTGATCAACTCTATGCGAAGATGTGTCGCACTGCATGAGGCAAATGGTGGTCACACCAGATACTGACTGGTTTTCTGATCCACACACCTACTTTTTTAATAATTATTTTATTTTATTTTGTATTTATATACTTTTTCTCCCAATTTCAATTACGATCTTGTGTCATCGCTGCAACTCCCCAATGACCTGCCAAACCGCGCTCCTTAACACCCGCCGGCTTAACCCGGCAGCCAGCTGCACCCATGTGTTGGAGGAAACACTGTTCAACTGACGACAGAAGTCAGCCTGCAGGTGCCCGGCCCGCCACAAGGAGTTGCTAGAGCGGGATGAGCCAAGTAAAGCCCCCCTGGCCAAACCCTCCCCTAACCCGGACGATGCTGGGCCAATTGTGCGCCGCCCTATGGGACTCCGGTCCCTGCCTTTTTTTTAAAGGTATCTGTGACCAACAAATGCCTATCAGTATTCCCAGTCATGTGAAATCCATAGATTATTGCCTAATTCATTCATTTCGATTGACTGAATTCCTTATATGAACTGTAACTTAGTAAGATCTTTGAAATTGTTGCAGTTGCATTTATGTTTTTGTTCAGTGTGTGTATATACACACTGAGTGTACAAAATATCAAGAATGGTCCATCAACCAAAGGACAACCAGCCAACTTGACACAACTGTGGGAAGCATTGGAGTCAACATTGGCCAGCATATCTGTGGAATGCCTTCAACACCTTCTAGAGTCCATGCCCCGAAGAGTTGAGGCTATTCTGAGGGCAAAAGGGGTGCAACTCAATATTAGGTAGGTGTTCGTAATGTTTTGTACACTGTGTATATTAGGAACTCACTCAACTTACTATTGAGAGTAAGAATAGTAGAATACACCAGGTACAATTTCAACATTTGGTTGTGCATCAGCAGTTTTTCTGTCAGTCACTGACAGTCACTCAATTAGCCATGTCAGCTAACAATTTTAAGATTGGTAGTTAGTTTAGCCAGCCATCTAAACTTGTAATCATGGCCGATTCCCAGGGGCCCTGACATCCAGGGGGCCCATATTGATTTTGTTTGTCATTCTCATTCAAATATCAAATTAACATGGCATAAGTCATTACAAAATGTGTAGAATTGCATTTCTACCGTCAAGAGAGGGCCACTAAAATGTTTTGCTGCGAGGTGAGGGGCCCCCCCAACCAAATCTTGCTAAGGGCCTCCAAAAGGCTGTCCAGAGCTAAGGGACAAGAGTCACTGCTGGAAACCATTATTTGAGTACAGAGGGGAGGCGCAAGTGTGTCAGTGTCACTTTCCTGTAAACCCAGGTGAGTAAACGTTAGGGGATTGTGGGGTTCTGAGTCGATATGATGTCTTCCTTCGCTTGGTTAGAAGGCACACACACACCATACACACTATACACACTATAACACTCCATACCGTTCTCAGTTCTCACGAAGAGCAGCAGACTCAGTGGCTGTTAGCTTTTTCATGTGGCAGTTTCTACTTCCCACTGAGAAGTGTGTGTGCTTCTGAAACTATCATTTTCTGCTGCATCACTGTTTACAAATATAAATATACATGCACAATCCTCTCTGTGACTTTCATTTTTAATTATATAGGTGCAGCAGTCCCCCTACTCTCTCCAAAAGCTCAAACCTTCCTCATAGGTCTGAAGTAGGGGTTGTGAGTACAAGTGAGGGGTTTTCTCAAGAAGTCTTTCTAGGTCGTCCTCTTTGTCTGGCCCCACGCTGAGATTAACAAAGTTGTTAGAAGGGCGGAGGTCAGCTAAACACCCCACTTCCTCTCTGTCGCTCTGCACTGTGCAAAAACCCCACTAAGGAGAGGTGTGCAATGGTTTGGAGAGCATATTAAAGAAACACTTTTTCACTGTTTTTAATGACACTATAATAAACTATCATTGCGTGTTTAACGCATGCATGTGTGAAAAGTGTAAATTAGTTTCTCTACTATGAGGTCATTATCTACCTGCCTTGCAACAGCACCAGTCACCTGGCTAAGTTTCATTTTGACAGAGGAGAGGATGGAGAGAGTGAGTGAGAGGTGGTGTGAGCTTATCACAGACCCACCCAGCGTGGGGGTGGAAGCTGTGGGTTCCAGTCGCCTTGGCAAGTTTTTTTAAAGACTGATGCTCAGATAGAAGCACACACCTCCTGCACACAGAGGCGACACACACTCACACACTCCTCTCACACACTGCACCATGAGCGGTACCCAGGGCTATCCATACCCCCAGGTGTTTCTAGTGGACAGCAGTGGAGGTCCACAGGTCCAACCTCCAGGCCTGGTACCTTGCTGGTCCTTCCCTCCTGCCCAGGAGAGGGTAAGGGAGCAGAGCAGGGGCTGCAGGGGGGTTGGCTCCTGGAGCCTGGTTATGGCTCTGCTGTTTCTGCTGCTGTTGGTGTTTGGGGCTCTGGGGCTGGGAGCCTACCAGATACACAGGCTACAGACACAACTGGATGGGATACAACAGGTGAGGGGGTTCTTCTCAGTGTTTGGGTGGGGTTCTCCTGGAGCAAGTCTGCTCTCTATTTGCGTCAAAGGGACTTTGTATCTCGTCACTTCTGTCTCATAATCTTCTTTCTGTATGATATTATAAGAGCATCTCTCCATGCAATGACACTGCACTGCTCCTCTGCAAAAAGTTCAATGAAATGGATGCAGGGAGGAATCTGTGGTAGTTCATATTTAGCATCTTGTAGCATTTCATTGTTTTTGTTGGCTAGAACATCTTAACTTACTGATGAGGAAAACCGAGGCATATAGAGAGCAATAGTAATGGCGACTTTTTGTAGGCACTAACTCCGCCATGGTTCATTGGTCAAAGCCTATGGGGAAATTAATGGGGGTTTTGGATAAACGCTGAAAATAAAGTATGTGGTAAACACAGGCTTAGGAGATCTTATACTATTTGTTATTTGTTATCTTCATCAGCTAACGTCACTTTTTGAGTTTAAGCATTTATGTGCTCAAAACGAGCACAAAAAAGGCTTCATAATTCATAAAGTTCATGTTAACTGACTGATATTATCACAGAACAAAATATATAATATCCCCTAAGCCTGTGTTAACCTCAGACCCCATTCCAAACCCCATTTTTCCCCCATAGGAATGGCTGAACGAACCAGACATAATTCATTTCCGGCTTTTAGTGCTACAAGCTGGCAAACTCTATAGCCTCCGTTTTTTTCCCCTACAATGCATTACAACATGCAACATTGTAGCAACAAGGGGGGAAAAACTCAACCTAAAAAGAGATGCCTCCTACCATTTCATTATCACCTTGATGATTGTGACCACTGGAAAGGGAGTGGGAGACTGGTGAGGGGTAGGCGACAGACAGACCGAGGTAAAGGGTAGATGAAAAAAGGTTAACAGGCTTTGACTTTCGTGCAGGTTTTATTGCTGCCTCTGCATCTCAGACTATTAAGTAGCAATGACATTTAAAGACCGGAATCTGTTCAGTTGTGGTCACCAGTCCAGCGGTGCTACAGGATATCCTTGACTCATATCAAAGAACACGTTCAGAAAGGAACTGATGTTCAGCGCATATTAGCGCAACATTACTCTATAACCCTTAACCACAAAATGTAATTTAACATAACCTGTGTGTATGTTAACGTGATGTGGCATTGAGATTTATTTTTTCTTCTCATTTCACAGGAAGTTAACATTGAGAGCAAAAGTCGTGCGCCTGAGAAGCTAGTGGGTGAGCTTCCAGAGACTGATCCAGACAGAGGGAAGAAGGCCAGCAGACCTGCAGCACACGTCATAGGTAAGTAAGCTGGGGTGGGCAGGCTTTTGCTCCAGCCCTTGTCAACCACCTGATTCTAGCAATCGGCTGCAAATCAGGACCTTGATTAACTGAATCAAGTGTGCACCCCTGATGTACAATAGGGACTGTAAAATCCAGTGGAGTCTCATGTCTAACCCCACTCTCCCTTCTGTCTCCCTTTGTCTCCCTCAGGCCGGATCGAGAAGGTTGTTTCCCAGAATACCTTGCGTTGGGAGCCCAAGGCAGGGCGGGCCTTCACAGAGGGAGGCGTGGTCTATCGGGATGGTGGTCTGCAGGTCAATGAGACTGGGCTCTACCACATCTACTCCCGGGTGCAGTTTGAGACCAATCACTGCACACCTACAGATGCCTTGGTTCACTCTGTGTTTGTGAGGAGGCCAGGGAGCTCCAAGCCTCTTACCCTGATAGAGGCGGACAGGGAGGGCTACTGCAGCTCGGGCTCTAATGGGCGTGTCTGGACCTCTGGGAGTTACCTGGGCTCCACGCTGCAGCTGGAGAAGCAGGACTGGGTCTATGTGAACGTCTCCCACCCAGCCATGCTCAGCCACACTCATCATGCCAACTTCTTTGGACTCCACAAGATCTAGAGAACAGGATGACATCTGGAGTTGGTTTCAACTGATATTTCACTCTGAGAGAACCTTAACACTAAAATGCTGGAGAAAAAAGTGGTATTTTGTATTTATTCTGATAAAGATCTGACACTGATTCCAGCTGCAGGTCTGAATGTATGTTCATTAGAACACAAAAATGTGCATGTTTGGGATTTTATATAGGTAAACAGGGATCCAATTTTCTATTAGAATAAAGTCATTTTTTAAACATTTAAATTCAGACTTTTTGAGATCGTTGTCACATGTGATTGTATATGTCCTGAGTGTCCATGCCAACAAACAGGAGGACGATCAGTGTTCTTTTAATGGGATTTTTGTTATGTCCCTTCTTCCATTTCGTTCTCTCAATCTATCGCTCCCTCACTTCATCACTGTCTGCAGACCTCCAAGTTTATGGTTGAGCCATTGTGGACATGAAACTAGGGTTTGGGTAGGGTTGAGGTATGAAAAGGGCTCAGTCAGACTCATTTCCAGTGATTAGTCAGAACTGTGGGGAATCGTGTTTCTATCGCTGTGCACCTTGGGGTCTGGCCCTGAATGACATGAAATGCAATGCTCACTTTACTCTAAAGGGGGTCAGGGTATGTAAGTGTCATTTTACCCACAAACGCAAGCAGACTTTCCCCTGCAATGCAGAGTTATGGGGGGGAACAGCCAGAGCAGGGCATAAACCGGCGTCCGTGTCCGAATACACATACTTGAGTCCTAAATAATAGTCAGTTTGAGTATGCAATAAAATAATGTTTATTGGACGCGACATTTCAAAAACCGAGTATACTCATTTTGGTTTTGACAACAGCTGATCAATTAGATATGGGGATGCGCTACCTAAATCAACGAATAGCGGGAAATGACTAATTCTCAGTATGCGAAAATAGAATGTTTAATAGAATGCGACATTTCGAAAATCGAGTATGGTTTAAATGCCAGGATGCTATACTCATTTCAGCTCTACATCTAGTATTATTCGATGCACACTTTTCCACAATGCATTGGAAGAGGTGGGCTGAGAGTGATGGACCCTAGTTCTCTTCAAGTAGCCAACAACAAAACTAGGCTACTTACAGTGAGGGAAAAAAGTATTTGATCCCCTGCTGATTTTGTACGTTTGCCCACTGACAAAAAAATTATCAGTCTATAATTTTAATGGTAGGTTTATTTGAACAGTGAGAGACAGAACAACAACAACAAAATTCAGAAAAAAACGCATGTCAATAAATGTTATAAATTGATTTGCATTTTAATGAGGGAAATAAGTATTTGACCCCCTCTCAATCAGAAAAATGTCTGGCTCCCAGGTGTCTTTTATACAGGTAACGAGCTGAGATTAGGAGCACACTCTTAAAGGGAGTGCTCCTAATCTCAGTTTGTTACCTGTATAAAAGACACCTGTCCACAGAAGCAATCAATCAATCAGATTCCAAATGCTCCACCATGGCCAAGACCAAAGAGCTCTCCAAGGATGTCAGGGACAAGATTGTAGACCTACACAAGGCTGGAATGGGCAACAATACCATTGCCAAGCAGCTTGGTGAGAAGGTGACAACAGTTGGTGCGATTATTTGCAAATGGAAGAAACACAAAATAACTGTCAATCACTACGCCGTGAAGGACTGAAATCCTGCAGCGCCCGCAAGGTCCCCCTGCTCAAGAAAGCACATATACAGGCCCGTCTGAAGTTTGCCAATGAACATCTGAATGATTCAGAGGAGAACTGGGTGAAAGTGTTGTGGTCAGATGAGACCAAAATCGAGCTCTTTGGCATCAACTCAACTCGCTGTGTTTGGAGGAGGAGGAATGCTGCCTATGACCCCAAGAACACCATCCCCACCGTCAAACATGAAGGTGGAAACATTATGCTTTGGGGGTGTTTTTCTGCTAAGGGGACAGGACAACTTCACCGCATCAAAGGGACGATGGACTGGGGCCATGTACCATCAAATCTTGGGTGAGAACCTCCTTCCATTTACATTTTAGTCATTTAGCAGACGCTCTTATCCAGAGCGACTTACAGTTAATGAGTGCATACATTCCTTCCTTCAGCCAGGGCATTGAAAATGGGTCGTGGATGGGAATTCCAGCATGACAATGACCCAAAACACACGGCCAAGGCAACAAAGGAGTGGCTCAAGAAGAGGCACATTAAGGTCCTGGAGTGGCCTAGCCAGTCTCCAGACCTTAATCCCATAGAAAATCTGTGGAGGGAGCTGAAGGTTCGAGTTGCCAAACGTCAGCCTCGAAACCTTAATGACTTGGAGAAGATCTGCAAAGAGGAGTGGGACAAAATCCATCCTGAAATGTGTGCAAACCTGGTGGCCAACTACAAGAAACGTCTGACCTCTGTGATTGCCAACAAGGGTTTTGCCACCAAGTACTAAGTCATGTTTTGCAGAGGGGTCAAATACTTATTTCCCTCATTAAAATGCAACTCAATTTATAACATTTTTGACATGCGTTTTTTTCTGGATTTTTTTGTTGTTATTCTGTCTCTCACTGTTCAAATAAACCTACCATTAAAATTATAGACTGATCATGTCTTTGTCAGTGGGCAAACATACAAAATCAGCAGGGGATCAAATACTTTTTTCCCTCACTGTAATTGGGAAGAGTCCCGAAGCTTCTGCGGTGGTTCTCACTGAAAAGTGTTTCTTGTTCTGTTTGCCTTCATCAGAGCTTTTAAACTAAATACTAAACCATCTTTTGATTTCTGAATGTGTGGCAACGGACACTGGGGATGTGGCTGCATTATTGATGTCATGTTAATCATGCCTTTTGATTTGAACATATGGATTGTTTTAGTTTTGTAGGCTATTTATTTAATTTATGGATCAAGCCTTCGCAGTCATTCTGAACTCGTTCCCAATGATCAGTCAGGGTAAGTACGGTTATGTTGCCGTCCAGCGGTTCTAAATATGCGATGCACCTGACTGTCCACGTTTTTCTGTGCAATAGCCTTTTGATTTGAACATTTTAAAAGTTTTGGTGTGTGTACTAGGCTATTTGATTTAAATGTATATATGTTACACCACTTTGGTTTCACTAATAAATATGTTGAAATGGAACCAAATGATCTGTTTCTGTCTTCAGTCCTTTTAAAATAAGATAGATGGCCTTTATGGTCTACTATCGTATACTGTAGGTCGAATGTGATAGTCTGCCTATAATGAGCCTGTGCAGGTTTATAACTGCATTGCTATTCTATTCAGAGTTTAGAGAAATTAATAAAATTGGAAATGAGCTATTATCAGGCTGGTTAAAATGCAATGCATGTCTGTTGAATTTGAAAAAGTCCATCTGCACTCGGCCCCACCCCACCTACTTAGCCAATCAGAAGCCAGCTGTTGCATACTGCATACTTTTTAGGGAGTGGCTCCTAATCCATGACAGGATCTTTTATTTCTGAGGGGCCAGGGTTCCAGTCTAGAAGCACGGTTTCGACTGCTCCTACAGTTTTGCTTCGGTACTGCAGTTTAACTGACGCCCGGCCCAGAAAGACAATTTCAATACACAGCCACACAGAGAAGTCAGATTTGAAAATTCCTAATAAGAAACTTTAGTCATCACCTTTGTGCACAAAACATCCATTGAATTATTCAAATAATTGTCACTAGGGCAGATATTTTTTTTAATCACTCACAGCCGAAGATATTAACATTTTATATTCATCCATGTCTGCCATGTTTTTGGATGAGGTGACGCCGTAGTCGCTGCTCCCTGTCCGCTAGTGCGGAGGTGATGTTGGTCCGTATAAACCGAGAATGGGGTAGCTGCCTCCCAACATGGCAACTGGAGTGGTTGTGTAGAAAGGAAAGTATTGGGTGTGTGGAAAGGAGTGGGTGTGTCGAAAGCGCTCTGTTATAGGTTAGACTGTGTAGATTGAACTGTGTTGTTTTTCTTCTGTTTCTTACCAGGTAACTACTGTTCATTGAGCTACCATACCGTGAGAGTTTGGACTGATGAGTCTTACATCTTTAGTCATTTAGCAGACGCTCTTATCCAGAGCGACTTACAGTTAGTGAGTGCATATATTTTTTTTCTTCATACTGGCCCCCCGTGGGAATCGAACGCACAACCCTGGCGTTGCAAGCACCATGCTCTACCAACTGAGCTACACGGTATTGTATTGTCAAAGACTCCAGCCACCCTAGTCATAGACTGTTCTCTCTGCTACCGCACGGCAAGCCGTACCGGAGCGCCAAGTCTAGGTCCAAAAGGCTTCTTAACAGCTTCTACCCCCAAGCCATAAGACTCCCGAACAGCTAATCATGGCTACCCAGACTATTTGCATTGCCTACCCTACCCTTTGGAGCAGTGGCTTCTTCCTTGCTGAGCGGCCTTTCAGTTTATGTCGATATAGGACTCGTTTTACTGTGGATATAGATACTTTTGTACCTGTTTCCTCCAGCATCTTCATAAGGTCCTTTGCTGTTGTTCTGGGATTGATTTGCACTTTTCGCACCAAGGTACGTTCATCTCTAGGAGACAGAACGCGTGTCCTTCCTGAGCGGTATGAGGGCTGCGTGGTCCCATGGTGTTTATACTTGCGTACTATTGTTTGTACAGATTAACTTGGTACATTCAGGCGTTTGGAAATTGCTCCCAAGGATGAACCAGACTTGTGGAGGTCTACAATTTTTTGCTGAGGTCTTCGCTGATTTCTTTTGATTTTCCCATGATTTCAATCAAAGGTAGGCCTTGAAATACATCCACAGGTACACCTCCAATTAACTCAAATGATGTCTATTAGCCTATCAGAAGCTTCTAAAGCCATGACATCATTTTCTGGAATTTTCCAAGCTGTTTAAAGGCACAGTCAATTTAGTGTATGTAAACTTGTGATACAGTGAATTATAAGTGAAATAATCTGTCTGTAAACAATTGTTGGAAAAATTACTCGCAATGTCACTAAGCAAAAAACAAACAACCAAAACATGATTTTGTCATGAGTTCAGTAGGCCTACCATTTGCTTGAT